TGGCAGTAGACACTTAGTAGTAGCTGACATGTTTCCTCGTTTGTCATTAAGAATTATGACAAAATTAAATTTAAATATTATATTGACTCATATGAATAATAAATTGGAATCGAACTTCGATATAGACAATTCAAATGACAGATTCGGAGTGCTCCAATGATTTACTTCCAAATTATAATTCATTACATCATATAAACTGGAGATTGCTATTTTACGCAGCATATATATATGTTAATTTGTTATGTTGTTTATGTTTTGGTTGATCATCTATTTTAAGGACCTTATACCATATCGGGAGGTTTCGAGAATTTGTGATTGGGAAACGAAGGTGTAAAACATGAAAATAGATAATCCTTAGAATTTATATCATAAAATGTGAAACCACACGCGAACTCACGCACCCATCTACACACACACATACACTTACACACACGCACACCCATAGAAACACACACATGCGCGCACTCGCACATATGCACAAAATACATTACTTTGCTTTTCTTAACTTTATACCAGTAGTTGCCTCAACATTATAAAATATATAAACTAATCATTCGAATCGAACTGCGGTAATTGAATGTATGCAATACCCTTTAGCAGTCGATATGGAGAGGCACATCTAAATTTCATTGTAGACATATAAAATTAAAAACGTAGACAATAAATTAATTCAAATAAGTTTGAGCAACATTTGGTTTTGCTTTTGTTATGACAGGTTAATGTAAAACATAGGCACTTTAATAAAATGTTAATATTTTTATCATTGTATCAAATTAGACAGAGCCTGGTAACGTCTAATATTAATTCTGATACCCAGAAACACGTGTTTTGTGATGAGCATAAACAGTAGCCAGGCAAACTTGAAACAAACCCTGTACCAACCCGTCTGGCCTGCGTGTTATAGTAGGCCAAAACCTCCTTTCTAAGGAGATGCCTATGTCCAGCAGTGCACTAGTAAAGGTTGTTAATGATGATGATATATGATGATATAGTCATCATCATCATCATCATCACCTGTTTTGGGTGGAAATCGAAGTACGACCTCTGGCTCAGAGTCAGATTCACTACTGGATCACTGATTTTTATGGTAAAGAGGTCAAACTAGCAGACGGGTCACCTGATGGCAAGTGCAACCACCGCCCATCGACACATGTAGCTCAAGGGTTACAAGTGCCGCCCTTTCATGCCCTTCCCCCAAAAATAAAAGGAAGGGGGAGGGTTTGGGAATGAAAGAACTGCTTAAACTGGTTTTCTGTATTTCTGTATGCCATGGTATCACTCCAGTCGATCCTGGCCCAAATGTTTTGCACTACTGATTTATTTTTTTAATTTTATCTTGATTCCATGATCAAGACGACAGTAGTTATTTGATCATCATCATCATTGATGATGATCAAATTAAATATGGTACGAAGTTATTAACAAATACTCGGACATAATTAATGGACTTAAAATAGGCATATGAGGAAGTATTAAAAAGAATATTGAGCATAAACTATGTCATTTAATATTATAAAATATTTCATATAAGTACAACATTTAAAAAAAAAAATAATTAAATAACGCGTGTTTCTTCAGCTTTCTGTCTCACACTTCCGTCCCTTTTCACGAAATCTCTTGCACATATTGCCAGAAAATGAGAGGAAAGATTAAATACAAAAAAATAATTAAAAGCGTTCATTATAAGATGAACATTACAAGCAATCACAGAAAGTAATTATCAAAACTTTGATCAAAAATTGTATTTTTTTATTGTTATCAATAAGCATTTATGATCTCTATTCAAGGAAACGCTTACGAAAAACGTTTAAAACTACATGTTTCCTTTGGCTATGCTTGCTACAAATGGAAACGCGCCTGCACCAGGTGTCAGATGAAAGCTTTCAAACACAAGATGTGGTGTGGTATTCCGTCAGTTCTTTGCACCAGTACGTATTTCATGCAAACGATGTATTACTAACTTAGTTTAAAGTTATATTTACTCAAACAGAATGTGTATTCAGACGCATTTATCTATGGGCCTATGCAGCCTGAAACAAATGATTTATATTATTACGTAATGTATATGTATAATATAATCTCTACCATATGTATATTACTGAATTGAATGTTACTGCAGCCAGTTTTGCATAGATAAACTGTTTAAATTTATATGTTTTTAACAGTTGATAAAACTTCCATAATGATAGATTACAAGAGTTTAAAGCTCGAGCTTATGAATAAAACTGATTGGAGATCATAAAAATATCGTAAACCAATCTTTTAGACTTAAAAGCAAATGACTTCCAAGCTCTATATATTTTTATTATTATTTTTATTTTGAAACCATTACAAGGGCATTAATAAAATATGTGCAGAAGTTACACTTGGTAAAATCCAGCTCGATTGGCGTAGCGGTTTGAGAGTCATATGCCGTTTTCTACTGAGCTGAGTGTTGTTGGTTCGGTCCCCACATCGACAACACTTTGTGTGATCCAAAAATTGTTGTTCTAAGCCTTGGTATTCTTTGTGTCCGTTTGATGTATGTTTGTGAAGTCTCCCGCCACATAGTATATGTTCCTAGTGCAGGAGTTGTCCTAAAAGAGTAGATCAAAATATAAATAATCAGGAAGAATACTTAACAAGAAGTTTCTGATTTTGTAATGCTTTTTGCTTTTTTGAAATATTTTTGTTTTTCCAATGAAAGAAGTCGTCACTCTATAGAAACCATATCTACGATTCTGCTTGGGTATGGTCAGGTAGGTTATGTGGTTATATGCAGTACAGGTCTTGGCCAGTTGTCGAAAAACCACCAAAACGGTTTTCTGTGAGGCCGTAGTACTGTGAGGCCGTACGGACTGTCTTCAGATGTCGAAGAGAAACAGAAGTTGGGGATTTTTGACTGAATTGGATCAAAAAGCCTCTACATTTGCGTACAACCTATATCATGCCTCTACATCTAATGCTAGTTTAAACCAATGAATCCCATTGACATGAGATATCTCCTGCTACAAGGGCTTTTGCTTGCCATTAGGTGTGCCAAATTATTTTTTGAAAGTACACTGAAATATTTCAATATAAAAACAAATAGCTTAAAAAATTACACGCTTCAAGCCGGACGTTGTACTAAAGATCCTTCGCGGTGACGAATGGCTCAAGACCTAATATTTTATTCAAGTTTAAACGAACAAATTTAAACAACTGGATCTATTAAAATTCGTACAAGGATGTAGTTCATTAGTATTTGACATCTGCATCATAATATATAATGAATGTGTTTTTTTATACTTTAACTTTATTTGGCCCATAGGTAAACTATTCGACAATTGCCACAGGTGTTAAAGGCAAGATACCGACTAAAACTATTCAGTGATGGTCACCAGTTATTCGAAGTCACAACTGTAGCCTAGAAAGGAAATCTCTATATACCCCGAAAGTCTTGCCAGCTTAACTCTAAGAACGAGGCGTCCATTTCCAGGAACTCACACCTTGGACAACACGGTGCGCTGACGTACAACCTAAAGTAGGTCGGGTGGCCCAATGCGACACAGGTAGTTCTCGAAGAAGTCGTGTCCGGTGCAAACCATCATCGTCTGTTAGGAGAGAATGTCATGTTGTCTGTATCTTGTATCACGGAACGAAAGTATGTATCTTCCATGACGGAATTTCCCGATACAATCGTCTTGAAATATAATTGCTAAGCTGATGTTTAATATTACGTACAAAAGTACTACCAGTACCCTAATTATCTAATATAACCCTCAAAACTATATACGAGTACAAAGGTAACAGTCATGCCTGAATCCCAGAAGATATAATGAGGGCGTGATGTGTACTTCAACACCAACAAGATGTGTAGTTTGCCACAATAACCGGATAAAAAATAGGTTATTGCCGGTCACTTTGAGAATGAAAATATTATATTTACAAATATATTGAATGTAAAACGCAGAAAAGCTTCATTTTCATTGCACATCCATTAAACTTTACAGTGTATGATTTGTTAAACAAATACGAGTACATGTGTAATGGATTTGACAAAATATATTCACCATTCGACTAAGTTTATTAACAAGGAAATAAAAATAAAAAAATCTTTAAAGTAGAGATTTTTTAATCTGCATATCACATCACACACACACATCAACAGCCTTTGATAGTCCTCTGCTCTACATAGGTCTCTCCTTAGAAAGGAGGTTTTAGCCTACTATACCACGCTGGGCAGACGGGTCGGTATAGGGTTTGTTTCAAGCTTTTCTTCTCTTTGCAGAATAATAAAGAAAATTAGAATCTGCATTTGCTTCAAAGAAAATATTTTATTTCAGTTGCTGAAGCGCTTCTCAATTGTTAATTTACAGTTTCTTTTGTTTCCTTGTTAGACGATATTGTTGATATCTTATAAATAGATAAGAATGAAAATTGAGTTCAAAGTGTACAAAATTGTATTCTTATGAAATCGGTTAAAAAGAGGACAGGTTTTTATACACTAACGTTTTAATCTCCGAATCGGTAAAAGGAGAATTTATGATGGAGGGTTATTTTAGTCCTAGAGGCAAATGATCGAGCTTATCACATAATGTTTGTTCTAGTTGGGCATCGAACTCACGAACTCTTTCTTATCAGTCAGGCTCGCTAACCACTAGACCAACAGTCTCATCACAGTTATTTTTCTACTTTAACTTTTATTAACACTAATTAATGTATCTATTTTGGTCCATACACTTATGGAAGTCTAATAAGTTTAACTACTAATAAAAATCAACTTTATTACTCCAATTATAATAATCATTATTAAAAGCTTTATTGATTAATTTACATTAAAAAAAACAGTCTTCATCTTAATTTGTGATAGTTTAATTAGAACCTCTTTAAGCTTCAATACCGATAGGCCTTACAAAGTAACCCACGTTACCAATACAAGTCTGATATCCAAAGACCTTGACAGTGAACACCTCACCTATATATACTGAACGGAGGACTGTGATCATCATTCCTCAGCCAGCTACCGACCTAATAACACCATGAAACTGGTAGGTCCAAGAAGCCCAAGTGAATTTTGAATTAAGAATTGATCTAGAAATATCGTGATCTCGATCCGTGATTTGTGTAATAGAACTCTTTTGTGCTGTTTTTTTTATGTTTATTGTAAAAATTTCTTATTGTGTTATTTTGTCATTTTTATATAACTTTGTATTGATTTTAATTTTGTTATGTATTACGTCACAAAAAGAACAGTTTGAGCAGTTTTATTGATGTTATATTATGATAAATATTGTTAGTCAGAGGTGTTAAACCCATTTGGAGATTACAAACGAACCACCAAAAGTGTTTAGTATCTCCATTAATTCACACCTACCTGTTATAACCATCGCAGTTTTATGAGCTTTTCATAGAGTAGTAGCATTTAAAGTACTTTTTGAAATATCGATGAACTTTTATTCGTATTTTAAACGTTATACATTTAAATTTTAATAGTCGGCATTTGTTACAATGGCTTGGTCTTCTCGAATACCTAATAATCGCAAAACTATATTTTTCATTGGAATTCCAAAATAAATTAACTTAAAAAGACTTTGTAATTAAAATATATTTGTAATCACGTTTTAGTTGATGCATTATCTATACGTTTCAGACTTATGCGCACACTGTTACAATATATTTACACATTTTTATATTTCATTAATTAATGTTAACATCATTATATTACAGACCGGAAAAAACAATTTCAAACCATTTCTAAAATATATCATCTGGCAATATATTAGTTTGTCCACTCATAACAATGTGTCATATTAATCTTCTTGCTTAGTAATAAATAAATGATAAATATACCTACCACAGATTTGGACACGATAAAAATGGCACATAAGACTATTTGAAACAATATGATATTTTGTTCTTACAGATCATCTTTTTAGCTTTGATCGGCGCGTGCGCAGCGGGAGCCCTCCCAGGGTACGTTGCGCCACAGTACCGTTACCCTTACTACGATCAACGTGCCCGAGCTGGTCTGGAGAGGAACGCAGCTATCTTGAGGTCTGAAAATGAAGTCAACGAAAATGGATATCATTACGCTTTTGATACTGAGAATGGTAAGTTGCATTTAAGTTTATTCATCTGACTTTACGCAACATAGTAATTTTCAAGGTAAGGGCTTTTTTTCAATGCCGGATCGCTGGGAACATCCTTTATTTATTTATTTTAATACAATAACGTCTTAAGAACTAATATGCATAATGTTTTGATCTAGTACATACAAAAATAATATGTGTACACAGCTTCTGCCTTTTATGTTAACTACCTTGAGAGGTAAAACAGTTTATATTATTTCTATGATTGACCAAAATCTTTAAGCGCACATTAAATGCTAAGCACAATTCATTCCATGTAATACTCTAATAAATATTTATTTACAAATACTTATACTATACATTTATATATGATATCTTTAAAATGTGTCCAAAAAAAGTGGTCCAATTTAAGCGCCGGTTCAATATTGGTTACTCTCCCTTATATCCAGATTGCCAAAATTCTTCGCATTTAAATAATTGTACGTATTGCACATTCTTACAATGGGCGAATTTATTCCAAGATTAGTACGACATCTGGGCAAAACAAACATATTGGTTATGGGATGTCGGAGTGGTGGAGGTCGAAATGATACCTTTAATTTATCTTTCCCAACAATTCAGTGTCAGTTATTTTTCCATTTATTATTCCATGTAGAAAAATTAAATCAGCAATTTTACGTCGTCTGCTAAGTGTGTCTAACTTATAATGTTTAAATCGGACCATATATAAGGACCTCTTCGCCCAGACTCAGGATAGATGTCGAATAAAATATTTCTGAATAGATTCTATACGTTGCGCATGATTCGAGTAGTGAGGATTCCAAGTGACACTAGAAAATTCTAATGTGACGTAGGTAAATTATAGACAACTGTTCGGTTCCATATTCGGTTTAATAATGTTCTAAATAAATGTGTGCAGTTACATATAAGGTAAGGCGAGCCGCACACTACACTAATACATTTCTTACGAGACTTTTGTACACAAGGATACCCGTTGTTACTTTCTTACACTGTTTTGTATTTCTTTTAATGAACCCCACCATCTTAGCGGCTTTGGTAGTTATATTATCGGTATGAGAAATCAGGAATCGTTGATACTTTTTCTAATTTAATATTATTAATTGCGTAAGCTGAGAACTAAAACTCCAAGAACTGTTTTTTACGGGTAAATTTAATATGAAAACATTTAGATGGAAGCTTTTTATAGATGGAACGCTTTTTATAGAAAACCAAACTAAAAATTAAATTTATTAAAATTTATTTTCAATTTTTTAGTTTGGTTTTCTAGAAAAAGCGTGTTTTTTAGTTTTTTTAAACTATTACTTTTTTAATATAAATATATTTTTTTTTAAATTAGTGTATTGTCATCGGTCCTCGATATGTCTACAAAGTTTGAACGAATTCTGACCGTTTAAAGTCAGTCAAAATCACGCTGAAAGGAGTCGGTTACAAGCAAACATACAAACAAACATACAAGTGAAGCTAATGTAAAGCAAAAGCATAGACTTTAATAAATATGCGTTAAACAGACCGCCTAATAACCAAATAGCGTTTAATATTCGTAGCTATTTCATATCGAATCATTGCAGAATTTACTTAACTTAGATAATAATCTCACGATTACTTGCTAATTTCACGGTGAGTCGAGTTTAAATAATGGGACGAGTAACGTGTGTAACGAGTAACATGGGTATTCGTAACGATACTGAAACCGTTATAATTTCTGTAACTGTTTTTTTTGTTTTACATCATTTTTTTGGAATGGAATGGAAGTCAGTTAGTTGCTTTATTAAAAACTTTTCTACTTAAACATTCATGGGAAATGGTCACCAGATATGATCAGAACCACCGATTTGAATCACCGCTATAATTTAACAAAATGCTTAAAATAATAGGATGAATTATGGCTTTATTTATAACAGTGTTCCATAACAGTTGACGACAATAGATGCTTCTAATCAATTTCTACAGTCAAATTATTGTGTTGAGTACTTTTTTACAACACAGAAGTCAAATAATTTTTCCGTTAGTAACACTACATATCATAAAATAAACTTCAACTTCAACTTTTGGTTGATGGCTTTGTGGTAGAGTGTAACCACAATTTCGCCAATGTCATGTATTTGAAACATGAAATAAATATTTCAGACGTGACAGTCTGTCTTCATGAGTGTCTTAACTATCTATGACAGTCGCCAAAGTACCCAACTGATTTCCTTACCCATTTGTCACAAAAAAATCAAGGTGTATAATGTTATAAGATTTTACATAAACTTGCTAAATTATAACAACGAATATGGAAAAAACAACGTTGCGTGAACTGGGACGTTTTTTTTTGCGTGCGTTGCGTGAACACAGTGTAAATTTTTCTAGTTTTTTTTAGTTTACCTATAGGGTGTAGAGGCAAGGAGAACCATCTCATTTTAGGGGAAAGTTGAAAAAGTATCCAGCATTATAGTGAAAATAGAGGTCGCTGGCGTACGAAAACCTATGATATGAACATAGCTGATGTAGATGGAGTGAATATTTTACAGGTTTACCGTTGTGTTTTGGTAGTAGTTTTAACCCAAGTATTTAAATCAGTCGCCCACTCGGTTATTATGCTACTTTCGTAATTCAAAAGATTTTAATGTGCTTTCTTGTGAAATTATTTTAGTTTAATTTAAGTTGTTTCATTTAAAAGGTTTGCATCCGGGAAATGCGTAACCTTATTTCTGTATCGGGAACTACTTAATAAATGGTAGTGAAGTAACATCCTATTACATGTTTTAACATCCATTCCTCTGTTCTAAGTCTCTAGGAAGGAAATGGTTTAAAAAAATTCGTTATGTGTATTTAAGTAATTTATTTTACCAACTTCATTAAAATTTGTAATAAATCTTTCTATGACGGCAGCTGGAAGGTGATATGAATGTACACATTTATACAACAATTTTGCCATGTGAGAAAAATTAAGAACGAGTTATGAAAAAGAATCTAATTTAAATGACTATGACATACAAGACTTTTCTATAGCGTACTAGCTGTTGGCTCCCGTTTGAGTTTACAAACAAGTTCAGGCACCTAAACCTCGCCACCACTGCGATGGCCAGACCGTGGACACGGCTCTCCACACGCTGGCAGAGTGCCCGGCGTGGGTTGAGCAGAGGCGAGACCTCGTGGCGGCCATCGGAGTGGGAGTTCTCTCGCTCGATAGCCTGATTGCGGCTATCGTGCGGAGCGAGAGTGCGTGGAACTCTGCCGTCTCCTTCTGCGAGCAAGTTATGCTCGCGAAGGAGACGGCGGAGCGGGACCGGGAGAGGTTTAGAACTCTCCCGGCCCGCCAGGCCCGGGCACGGGCCAGGCAGCGCAGGCGACTCAGGCGCCGGAGGTCGCAGAACGACCTCCGTCCTCCATAAGCGCAGGCCTGGGGGTGACAGGTGAGGCCATCTGTCACCCTAGCAGAAGCAGGCCGGGGTGGCGGCGAGCGCGTTGCGAAGCGCGCTCGCTTCCAGGGAGCACAGGGAACATGGGGTTCCCACACGGGGCGGGGGTCGTCTACTCGTCTGTAGATGACCCGAGGTATGTCGGGGCACCAGGGCCTTCCTTTCTAGGGTATACCTGGTTCCCCGGCTATTAGTACCCGGCGAAGGCGTGCGGTTTTAGTCGGTTCGAGTCCGACATGCCACCGAGAGGTGGTATCCGAGGGGATTTCCGCACGGAAAAAAAAAAAAAAAAAAAAAAAAAAAGGCACCTAAACCTCAGTAACAGTACTTTTTTGTGGTGAAGTTCTTCTATGTTTTTTCTGTATTCTCGATGTGGCTGCTATCAAATTGTCATGATAATCGGTTAAGTACTAAAAATGTATCAAACAAACAAATATGGCTAATATTTTCCATGACGCGTAACATAATATGAAATTCTAATTTTCAGGAATCTCAGCTGAAGAATCCGGTGTTGAAGCTAACGGCATCCAGGCCGCCGGTAGCTACTCCTACACCGGAGATGATGGTCAGGTATACGCTGTGAGGTATACCGCTGATGCTAACGGCTTCCGACCCGAAGGTGCTCACATACCGACCCCTCCTCCACTCCCTGCAGCTATCGCAAGGGCGTTGGAGCTTAATGCCAGAGATGAGGCTGCTGGAATTTTTGATGACGGTAAGCTAATTTCATTAATAGAACAAAATGTAAGAAAGCAAGAGCAAAAGTAGTGTGGCAAAAGTACTAAGTAACTGGGTAGACTTGTTTGCTAATTTATAGAGGAGATAATAGAGGAGTGGAAAAAGGCTGAAATGGCCCGTATTGATCACCCGATTTATATTGCTTTTTAAATTTTAAGTAAATCATTATTCAATTTGAGTGGCTGGTTTCTATTATTGGTCCATTCCAAGCCTATTGTGCTTGGATACTTAATCGTTTACTTCAGGTGGGACGATGGTAGAAAGTTAATTAGGTAAAAAATACGAATAGTACCAAGGATCTAGGAATGGGATTCAAAAAATCTCAGATGAGAAACGGGACTAAGACTACCTTCCTTGGCGGAAAAGGCAGCGGTTATCTATTTGCTACTTACCATCAAGTAACCCATCTGCTCGTTTGCCTCCCCTGTACCATAAAAAACTGTACTAGCTAGAAGAATCTTAAGAAAGGAAGTGGATTTTAATTTTTCCTGGGACCTCCCGAGTGTCATAACTCGGTGTGTTCGTTCACTGCTGTCGATCCTGGTGTATACGAGTTACAGTGGTTGGCGTGTGGGAGGGATTAGTCCCGTTCAAGTTAGAAGAATCTCATGATTGGAAAGGCTACTAGGACAGAGACACCAACTGGTCATAAATTTAAAATCAAAAAGATTTGAAATGATACAATTGCTCTGTAAACCTTGGCTTCGTGTCCATATTTATTAAATATAATAACTCTGTAATAACTTGTTACTAATTAAATTGAATTGTCCTACATATCGCTCGAGTGTAACACGGTGTAATTATAATTAAAAGAATCATTGGTATCTTTGAACAGATTGCTTCTTACTGTTAATTAGTATTGACATCTGTATTTAACTTTTAAGGTTACAATTAACTATCTGGTTTGAAGATTTTAATTGGATATACTGTTTAAATAAAAAAAAAAACATAATTTGCTGTCGATCTCATTTTATATCGTTAGCTTTTACTAGCTGCGTCGCTTGCGTTTAAGTCTATTTTGTCAATCATTTTTCCGGATACAAAGTAAACTATGTGCCATATGTGCCATGCTACATGCCTATGTGACTTTAGTCATATAGTCATCTATGTTTCTTAGATAGATTATAGTTTTTATATTTCTGGAAATTTATTTTCCAAGGGTCACTGTGTAATTTAAATATTTTTTCCATCTTTAGAAAAATATTTTTTAAAAGTATGTGAGTCTTTTAAGATAAGATATTTAGATATAGTTCTGTGTATCGTGTAGTTAATGAGTTAGTTGCCATCAGGTGACCCGTCTGCTCGTCTGACCCCTCTTCAATGAAAAAAAAAAGAGAGAGAGAATTCCCTTGAGTTTAAAAATTGTGACCGAACTAAATAATTTAATAATAATATATCCTACACATCTCACACAAGGCCGCCTGATCCCAAACTAGGCATACTATGTCCTATGGTAACCAGACTGCTGATAAACACACTTATATGTAATTTTAAACAGATAAATAACATAGCATATTATAGATAAATAACACCCAGACACAGAACAAATGACCGTGCTCTCACACAATATTTGTCCTGGGTGGGAATCGAACCCATGACCTCCGATTTAGCAGTCAGGGTTACTAACCACTAGACCAACAGGCAAGTTTCTTTTTAATTATGAAGTTATTGGTCCGCATAAGGGTTGGACTAATCTGGATAAATAACTCTATTGTTTTTATTAATGTCCCATTTTATTTTCAGGAAGCTACAAGAGCGGTAAATACGTACCCGGAGTAATCGCTGCCCGTAATCAGTACAACCGATATGTCCACCCCGCGTATCGCCACTATTAAGCTTACAAGACAGCGGTCATACAAGACAGCAGTCACACAAGACAGCCAACGAAACAAGAATATGTACAGTGCCATCGACAATAGAATAAGTTTGTACATTGGTGCAATAAATTTGCAATACTATTTTTATTATTTGTTTTATTTAAATCATTCGTTTAATTAGTATTGGATGCCGTTTGGTATATTATAAAAGTTATAAAAATATAATTAATCTTAGAGCTTCAACTTTTTCCTGCAATGATGGATGGTAGATGGTAGTTGTTTTACCAGGATCTTCTTGGAGACTGAAGAAGGAATAACTTTTAGTGTCTGGGTTCTTACATAGTATTAAACATAACAATATGAGTCGATTCAAGACTGCTTTTGCCATCACTATCACTTACCTATCAAAACAAATGAACTAGGAAAATCTTTAGAATAATGAACTGTCGAGTTAGTTGATTATATTGACATAGAATACCTGATGGTATTAGGTAGTACTGGCTATCTAGACTTTCGCTGGTATTCTTAATAGACGGGAGTGTTGGTATTACCTAAATTCTTTTATTTATATTTTTTTTTGTTATTTTTTTTTATCTGGGTCAACACACAATTGTACAAAACGCTGGATATAAACATCATCATCATCAACAGCCTTTAATAGTCCACTGCTGGACATAAGCCTCCCCTTAGAAAGGAGGTTTTGGCCTACTATACCACGCTGGCCAGACGGGTTGGTATAGGGTTTGTTTCAAGTTTTCCTTCTCTCTGCAGTGTTGTTGTCCTGCGTAGTTTTCTCCCTTAGTCGTCTCTTTCGACACCCACGGGATGAATAGGGGTGGTGACACTCTGTATTCTTAATCCGTCACCACACGGACAAACGGATATAAACATACAGTACTAATAATAGTTTTAGGTAAATGTACACACATTGTTGTCCCCTACCAAACTATATTAAGTACTATCACGAAAACTGAGGAATGTAATTATCACATTTACAAATATAACTTACAAAACTGGTTGAAGACAAGGTTACCAGCCGTTATAATAATTCTCAAAGATCTCTGAATGATGCTAACATCTCAACTACGCATACTTTGAATTGTGTAGGTGGTAGTATATAGGTATAAATAAATCTGTGAAAATCATCTACAACTATTTATTATTTACTGACATGCTTATTCCATATTATTAATCAATGTAGAAAGGACGCTGCTAGTAATTTGAGTTAAATATATCATCATCATCAGTCCAGTCCAGCCAGCAGTCCACTGCTGGACGTAGGCCTCCCCCCTTGCACGCCACTTAGATCGATTTTGGGCTCCTCGCATCCAGCTCCTGCCAGTCATCTTGCGCAAATCGTCACTCCACCTGGCCTACATATATTTATATATATATACTAGCTGACCCGGCAAACGTTGTACTGCAAAACAAAAAAAAAATATTGATGGGTCACCCTTACCATTTAGGGGTATGAAAAATAGATGTTGGCCGATTCTCAGACCTACCCGATGTGCACACAAAATTTCATGAGAATCGGTCAAGCCGTTTCGGAGGAGCACGGGAACGAACATTGTCACACGAGAATTTTATATATAAGAAGACTAGCTGACCCGGCAAACGTTGTATTGCAAAACAAAAAAAAATTAGGGATGGGTCACCCTTACCATTTAGGGGTATGAAAAATAGATGTTGGCCGATTCTCAGACCTACCCGATGTGCACACAAAATTTCATGAGAATCAGTCAAGCCGTTTCGGAGGAGTACGGGAACGAACATTGTGACACGAGAATTTTATATATAAGATTTTTTTTCATATCTTATTAGAAGTTTAAGTTTTATTTATTAGGTACCATAAAAAATGTACTTTCTAATTACGACTTTATTTTTCTTAAATCAAAAGCAAAATATTTTTATCCTAAAGTATTAAAATAATAACTTTAAATTAAGGTTTGGCTATAGAGGCGTCTTACCTTAGCTTATGCAAGTGCTCATCGGGCGCGGCTGTTTTGTTATTTTAAAGCACGATCAGAAGGATCAGGACCTAGGTCTACTGAGGATAAATAAAACAGAATGCCATTTCAAAAGAGTTACTAGATTTAATAAAAAAAACAAGCAGAAGGAACCATAGCTACGACGGGTAAGAGGAAGAGGAAGGAGGAAGGGCCGCGAATGTTATGCACCACACGACAGACACACTAGTTAGGTTCTTCTCATGTAATGAAAGTACACATTAAATATTAAATTATAATATATTTATTCATACACAACGTTCATATCTAACTTTATCATTTTTTTAATTATGGGACATAGATATACTTTTTTCCTGTGGGGGGGGGGGGGGTATTTATAAAACCGACAAAAGTCGAAAGGTTGAAACAAACACATCATCATCATCGTCAGCCTATCGCAGTCCACTGCTGGACATAGGCACGGTACTATTATAATACAGTAGTGTAACTCGGCCGCATGATAGAAATAAATGCCTACAGCCGCGCGGTACGTAAACATGCGTTAGGGCTGCCCGTCTCCAGCATTTTAATTAAATTTGCCTACTTTCTGTTTCTATTTAGATTTGTGATTGTAAATATCCTTTTTATATAAATAAATGAAATACTTTGTATATTGAATAGGAAGTGTTCAATAAAAATGCGTGTTTTATTTTTTGTTTGGTAGATTTAATTATTTTCTTTTCTTTCTGCATTGGAGGAGTTTTTAGTGGTATATGTTGTTATAGTAGCAGCAGAAACACTTTGTATAAATTTCGAAAACTATCTAATGACACACAGACGGTATTTTTTTTTTCTAGTATTATTCATACACACAGATAATAAACAAATATTATTAAAAATAAAATACCACGTCTTTACTTTGAATTATGCAAAGTAACAAAACACACATGCACCGAAGTTTTAACACAAGCGTAAGTAGGTAGGTACCTACCGTATCATGATTCATTCAGAACCTCATATAACTACCTATTTCACTCGTATCAATAACTTTCCGTTACTCTATTCGCTTTATTAATTAATCCAAACACCTTTTTTTTCGTAAGATAAAAGGAAATACTTATCCATAAAAAAGACACACATTATGTACCTACCTACTAGTAAGTAAAATTATTTTATAGTCTTACCTTTCAGAGTTTTCAGGTAATTTAAAAAAAACCTTATGTCTGGATGCGTTATTGACGATTTCATACAACCAAAAACAGCACAATATTTCCTACTCGTCATATTAACTGATTTTTAGAGAAAAAAAAATCGCGCGGTTATTGTTAAAAAAACAACACGCCGTCCGTTCGACACTGCGTTACAGCCGTGACTGTCTGCGCCCCGAGCGCACCCCGAGATCGAGGCGCGTAGGTATAGCTCGCGTTTCGTCTGTTTGTATGAAGTTGGAGTACTGTATTATAATAGTACCGTGACATAGGCCTCTCCCATTGCACGCCACTTCGATCGATTTTGGGCTAAACAAACACAGTTGTGCACACTGTTTTTCGAACCAAACACATACATAATAATATTATATTAAAAATCTAATGATTACATATAAATTTAATTTAAGATTTAAAATCTTCAATTAAATATTATTTTAATTCTATTATTACTATTTGTCATGAGAGTCACAAGATAGTAAAAACATTAAATTACCACCAAAATTAAACATGAACATGAAATATTTAAAAAAATGCAGACGATAAAAATTCAGCAACAAAGTAATATATTTTTTTTAAAGAGTTTGGAACATTTTTTTTAAATTCTTAATTGGCACATTCTTTTATATAGCAAACATACTCTTCTCAAAGTACCAGTGACATGTAAGTTATGGTAAGTTCTATAGTGACTGATAAGGTACTTGTATAATAATACAAGTGACTTCTATTTCGCGCAGTTAAATAATTACAATAAAATGTAAACCTTTAATATCGATCTATCATCCATCACTTGTAATTATATCGTATTATTAGATCTGTGAACATCCAGTGCCTTACATAAATATTATTAATCATCTCTTGATAATAAGTCAGAAACTGAATGCAGGACATCATAAAGTAAGGATCAAAGGTATGCCATTATGCATTCTATAAAGGAGAATTAGTCTTCTTTGTATTTGTAATCCTGTTGGTACAATGTTATTTGCGCCTTTCAGAATCTAAAGAGCTTTTAGAAGTAGAAATTAAAAGCTACTCACCATGATATTTACCAGTATAGGGTACTTAACTTACTTTTCTATTTACGGTTCAACCCAATTTCAATGTTCATAATGGAAATTGTTAAGTAATCCTGATTGTTAAGTCTGCGGTATTGTGTTCGACACGATTATTCGTTCGTGGCTGGATGTTATTAATAAAAAATATGTATATATTTACTCAAGTATGTTTATTAGCCGTCTGGTTATCATAAAAAAGTATTTGCCTGGTTTAGCTTCGGACCAGATAAAGTTAAATAAAACATCTACACAGCAACAAAACATGGCACCCAGGGAGTTAATATTTTTTATAGTAAATGTGTTTGCTTTTAAAATACGTGTATTTTATTTCATGCAACAGTTGTAAAGATTAAGGTATAAATGATTAAGTATTGACCTATTTCCAAACTGCAAGGGTAACTGGGTTGGTCTTTTGAAGAAAGGACCATAGTATTGAGTCGGCCCGTCCATACAAACGGTATACGAGCCCCAACCATTGTATAGCCTAACCGATATAGCCAGGATCAACAACCCAGAACACGACACTACCGCCTGCCGGTTACTTGAGTGGGCCGTGGAAACACTCCAAACCACCAGAAAGTTACCAAAATATGAACTGACATTACAAGCCTATACTATACTAACATTTATACTCAAAAAAAAACAAAAAAACAAATTGGAAACAAACGAAATACGAATTACAACAAAAAATTAAATATTCATCACTTTCAAATGTGGGAGTGAGCAGCATCAATCCCATGCAAATTTGTAATCTAAATAATCTGTAACTGTGTAGTAAGCATTTTCACATAGTTTTTGTTTAACTAAGG